ACACACACACGTTTGTACATGTGTGTTAGTGTGGACACTACTAGTCTGTCTAACTCTAACTAACTCTAACTCTAACCTGAACCAGGTGTTAACGCTCAGACAGCTCGGTGGGACAGAAAGTGAGGACCAGACAAAATGTCCCCACCCATTAGGTTGCAGGCTCAAAACGGTCCTCACAAATGTATCTGTACAAGTACACACACACACAGACCACCCATGGCTTTGTGTGTGTGTGTGTGTGTGTGTGTGTGTGTGTGTGTGTGTGTGTGTGTGTGTGTGTCAGTCAGCTGACTTGTCACTCTGTTTGACGCGAAGTCGTTTTTCTCTCCAGCAGCGGAGGAAAGTGAAGAATATTGTGCGAGCTTCTGCTGAGTGGGAGGAAATGTGCAGGTTTTTAAAGCCGCGGCTCGGTCGGGGACAGACTGAACCACTTTCAGGCCAAATTGACCCTTTGTCAAGTCTCGCCTCTGCTCGCTCTCCCTGGTTACGGTTGCTAAGTGGGACAAACAAATGGCCTCAGAGTCCGTTTCCACTGAGGACACCTGTTGATTTAATTGAGTCATATTTCTATTTAGCCTCGTTCGCTGGAGCTTGAAAATAATGTGGTTTCAGTGTCACCGGTCGCCTTGAAACACCAGCGACTGTATTAATATTCAGAGAACAAGTGAAAAAGCATGAAGAGATTTCACGTCTGCTGGAGTCGAGCTGGTCGACGTGAATCAGGCTCAGTTTTCTTAACGGATCAAACACATGTTACAACGTTCAGAGAAAAAGAGAACGTGTGCATGACGAAGGATCCGTCAACACAAACAAGAAACAAAGAGCTGAGGCCTGGTTCACTTCATCCACATGAGTGACCGAACGATTAACTTGACCTTCGACCTTTTGGATATAAAATGCCGTCCTTTCCCTCCGAGTAGAGATTCGTCTGAAAATATGTCTAGATATATTTGACGGGTGTCGTCTCGTTGGGTCGACGTTACCCGTCTGATATCATGTCAAGTATTTTTCACCAGGACAAAACTGAAGTTTTCTTTTCCTAGAAAACGTTTCTTCTTCTTCTTCTTCTTCTTCTTCTGGTCCAAAACAAAACATTAATGTCTCTTGGGTCAAAACTTAAACTTGAGTTTCTTAAAGCCTTTGAAAAGGATTGAGGCCATAAAACAATAATAGGAATCATCACTTCCAGAAAGCGTCAGTATAATCCACTTGTTAGAATATGTCCTAAAGTTAATTTTTCTAAATGCACTGGAGTCAGATCGTCCTCGGTATCGACTGATGCACAACAATGATCTCAGATCATCTCTGAGTAAAAAGGTGAATATGAAAGTGCAGCAGATTCCAGTTAAATGCAGAATGACATTTTCTAAACGGAGCCAGAAGAGTCTCAGTGTTGATTATAGCTCGGAGCAGCAGAGCAGCTAAATGTGGTGTTCCCTCCACACACACACACACACACACACA